CATTTCGGGCGTCCAAAAGGGAGATTGGCAGGATGGGAAGGAGGGGGGATGAAGGGGATTGGGAGGAAGAGAGATGGGAAGGAAAAGGAGGAGGAAGTCCAGAGAAAAGCGGGAGGGAGGAGGAGGAGGAGGATCAACATCAGCGGATTCCTTCCGCCGATGAAGAACTACTTCTTTATCACGGCCGTGCTTGTCTCTGACATGGCCATGGGTGTAGCACAGTCCTTGCTAAACCCTGCCAGGGAGAGATGTAGGAGCGGGGGCGACATATACTGCTACAAGAACAGAGGCGGTGAACACCGTAAGAGTACGCTCCGGCGAGGTGGGGACGCGGCGGGGGATGGGCAGGCGGAGGAGAGTGCGGGAGGCGGGAGGGGGAGGAGGACAAAAGTGAGCGATGGTGCTCCTCCTCCTCCTCTTCCTCCTCCTCCTCCTCTTCCTCCTCCTCCTAGGATAATGCCGAGGGTGGATCTGATGACAGCAGTGAAAGCTGATGGCGGCGACGATGATGATGGTTCGATGGTACTTGGTGGTGCTGATGGTGCTGATTGTGGTGTTTATGCTTGTTTTTATTACTGTTGTGGCGATGGTCATCGCCTTGATCATGGTGTTGATCATAGGGAAGATGACCGCCTGCTGCTCGAGCGACGGGATGACAGCCTCATTGAGGAGTCCTTCTCGCTCAGGGGGTGCGGTTCTCAGTCGAGCAGCGCCTTCAACGGGCCCAGACAAATGAGGATACCTATGGGACAAGTGGCAATCTGCGAGAGAACTGAGGAGTCTTGAGCGGATCAGGATGGCCAGGGTGACAGGGAGGATGGTGACGGAGGAGTGGATACGGCGGGAGAGGGAGGAGTAGTGGGCAGGCGAGGACGCGATTGAGGAAGGTAGCGATGAGTAAGGCGTGGAGGGGAGAGGTGTGTGTGTGTGTGACGATGGGTTGGCCCGCTTAGCTTCGACCAGAAGAGGTGCGCTCTCGACCCGCGGATCAAACAAACGTGTGACGATGGGCGCTTGGCGCGAGGCGTGCTTCGATGGACACCGGAAGGCCCCCCGTGGGGGCAGGGCACCATAAAGAGTACCTGTTGAGAGGTGCCTGAGCCGAAGGGCAGGACAGATCTACGCAGGAGGGCGACCCTCATGGAGAGGAGGTGGCTGGACACCGTACTTCTTGCGTGTTTTGCCCGCGGCGCCGTGTAAGCTTCATCGCGTCGGATCTCAGGGCACGCCGATCATGGATCGGTGGAGGCTGCTGCGGCAGGGCGCATGCCCACCTCCGCTCCGCCAGACAAACTGCCAGCAGCTTCCGGAGTGGCTGTGTGCTTGCTCATTTCCTCGGGCACAGCCACTTCGACGGCGGGCGCAACGACGCCGAGAGCCGTGAACAGCGTGTCCAACTGCATCGCAGGGGCCTCGGGCGCAAAACCTTTTGGCTGCCAGATGCCCGGCGGAACCGCTGGGGCACTGACAGAGGCCACGGCGATCTCGGCGTCCGAGTGCAAGCAGTGCTCGGCGGCCGAGTGAGTCTCGGAGGCGGTCCCGGATCTGCCTCGTGAGCGCGGCCAGTCGGAGCATGCAAGGAGCGAAGGCGGCGGCTGGCGCGCATGGCAGCTGTCCCGATGGACGGGGTTCTTCAGCAGCACCCTGCGTGCTGAAAATGACCTCGGAGCCGGGACGGCGGCTGAGGGGAGAGGAGGGAGGATGAGGAGGAGGGATGAGGTGGAGGCGGATGGGCTGGACGGAATTGCGGAATACGTTGTTGTGGCGAACATGTTCGCCAGCCTTGGTTCGCAACTGCTGTGCTGTGACCCGGCAGGGTGGGCGGAGGAGTGTCTACTCCGCGCGACGGCGTTGTCCGTGTGATGGTGTCTACGGTTTGGCGCGGCAGGGTGTCTTGCCCCCCCGATTGGGCAAACATAGGTAAGCACAATACAGGGACCGATTCCAAGCCGCCGAATATCGCAAGCCGTATGCCATGCTTGAAATCTTCAGAGATTTGGTCTCCACCATAAGAATGTAACGGAACGCTTGCAAGGGGAATGCATGGTTGCGAAAAGGAGCAAGGAATTGTGATGATGTGAAGGATGTGGTGGCACAGGTGATGCATCGGCGTTGAGGCTCGATGTGGGGCCCGATTCTCCACGCCGACGGCGCCAATACACCGCCGACGTCGCCAGTGCATCGCCGATGCATCGGCGATGTATCGCCGATGCGTCGCGATCTGCCGACCCCACCTACTCCGACCCCGTCTAGGAGGCCTCGATTCTCCATCCTCCATTCGCCCTCCGTGCCGTCCTCCTTGCTCCAGCATCCTTGCTTTTCTCTCTTGCTTTAAGTCGGGCGTGACCCTCTACAGGAGGAACATTTAAATCTAGTCCAGAAGTAGTCTGGGGACGATGTTTTGACTAGTTTGGAGCATGTGTTATCGTCCATCCACCGCGGCGGAGCTGAGCCAGGTCCAGGCGCTTGCGAGCAGCTACTTGGCGAGTAATCGGTGGAGCGCACTTGTCCGGGGCTTTGTGGGCCCCGGAAACGGCAGGGCCGTTTTTTATCGTTTCCAAAACAATGTCCCTTGAACATTGAAACGGCAAAACAACGGCGCCCGGAAACTGCGAAAAAACGGCGCCAGGATTGAAACTGGAGCTGGAACCGGTCACAAAACGGCGACGGAACCGGTACAAAAACGGCGTCGGAACTGGCAACGAAAACGGCAAAACGGAACCGGTAAAAAAACGGCTCTGTCGTTTCCAGGGCCCACTAAGGTCCGGGGTCGTCGTCCTCGTGGCGGCCGCGGCCGCCGCCGCCGTGGCCGCCGCTGCCGTCGCCGCCCGCCCGCCGCGCGCCCGCTCGCCGGGAGGCCGAGCCCCCCGCTCGCCGTCGCCCGCCCGCCACGGGCGGCCTGGCTGGGAGCGCCGCCCCCGCGCCGCCCGGGGGGCGGGGCTCGGAGAGGGGGGCACGCCGGAGTCGGGGGTGGCAAAGAGGGGGGGGATGACCAGGGGGGGGGGATTTCCTGGCGGGGGCCATGAGATCTCTCCAGATCTCATGGCGCCTCTTCTTGCTTCTTTACGTCCCTGGCCCCCTCTCTGGGCCGCGCACGTGCCGCCGGTCATGATTTGCACCCCCCCCTATTGGACACCTCCCTCTTGGCCGCTCCCGAGATGGTCCGCCACGCGCCGCCTGGATGCTGCCCAGAGGGTGTCGAGCAGTGGCGAAGCGTCCCGGTTTGGCTGTGTCGGCCCAGCAAAGACTTGTTCTGAGGACCGACTGTGGTCTGCACGACAGGTTTTTCGATCATGTCTGGCCGAGACGGTCCTGTATTGACACATCGGGCTCATGTTCTACGCACACTGTTTTCGTTCTTAGAACATTCTGGGGTTCGAAGCATGTTTCGTGGAAGGTCCCTGCTGAAGGACAAGGAAACGGGAGCCCCGTGCGGGCAAAAGACCGCATTGCTGCTGCGAAGGGAGATGGACTTCCCCCCCCCTGCCCTGCGGGGCTGCTCGCAGCGAGGGCGCTGCGGGGGGGGTGGGCCGTGGCGGCGCTGAGCGGTGGGCCGCAACAGCCTGCCGCCTCACACACGGGTGTCCGCTGCGGCGCCACCTTAAAGGTGCGCGCCTCGGTCAGCGAGGAAGGCAGGAGGAGGAGCACCAGGCGAAAGAGTGACCCTTCGCCAGAGTGACCTCTGGTGTCGGCCCCTTGGGGCCCCCCGGTCGCTCCAGCGCGATTGCGACTCAGTAGCGTCTTGCGCGTCTGGGTTTGCCCCCCCCCCCCTTCCCCGCGGCGCCCAAAAAGTCGCGCACCATCCTCCTCCTCCTCCTCCTCCTCCTCCTCCTCCTCCTCCTCCTCCTCCTCCTCCTTCTCCTCGCAGGTCAGTCTCACTCTTTACCCAGGGTCACCCTTGCGTGTAGCCGACCGGTGCGGGCAGGCAACTTTCATATCCTTACCCACTGCGTCTCATGGGCTCTCCGCGAAGGCGCGTCGAAGGGGGGGTACGGGCAGACATCTGGCCTCCAAGGGATCCCCCGCAGAGGCCCGCGAGGACGTCGCCGGGAGGTGGCCGCTGAGAGAGCGCCGCCGAAAGGGCACGTGGGTTCTTGGGTGGCAGTGCTGGTGCATGCGATGGCCCCGCATCGCTCGGACGTGTGCATTTTTCCTTCGGCGAGGACCATCGAGGAGCATCCTCGATCATGTGGCGAAAAAGCCACGCTCGAAACCGAACAAAAACACAGGAAATGGACGTCCGAGCGATGGCCCCTATAGGATGGCACGCAAATGCGGCTCCCGGCGCCGCCGCACGTTTTTTGTGGGCCAGCGGGCGCACGCCTCGGTCGAGACGCCGGTCGCCTGGCATCGCTCGGACGTGTGCATTTTTTCTCGGCGAGAACCATTGAGGACGATCCTGGACCATCGAGCAAAAAAAACACGCGCGAAACCGAAAAATGCACGGGAAATGGACGTCCGAGCGATGGCGAGGTCGAGCGGCGGGAGGGGGGCGCTCGGGAAGCCGGCGCCGCCGAGCAGAAGCCTTCGCGCCCCAGGCAGGATCGCGGTATAGGAAGAAGTCAGGACGGGAGGTGTTTTGGACAGTTTTTTCGGCCTTTGGGGGGGCCCGCGCAGGGCCTCGGGATTGGCAAACAACGGCTCGGGAGGAGATGCCGGCCCTTGGGAAAGGGTCGGGGGCTTCCGGGGCGCCGCCCTGCAAACCTTGGGATGTCGCACGTCTGGGTTGATTTCCGACGCTGGCGATGTCGCGGGGGTGGGAAAGGGCCGGACGGGGCTAGGGCGAGGGTAGACATCTGTTGTAGACCTTTCCCGCACGCTCTCAGAGTTTTCTGAGGCGCTCTGGGAAGGCCGCGGCGCCCGAGACATGCTCCAGAGCCGCCGGATCTCAGAGATTCTCGATAAAGCCTCGTCCGAAGCTATATTCGTCCTTGCTTCCCCTTGTGGAGTACTGCTTGCTTCCTACGGTCGGTTGGAGGCACTTCGTCTTATGGCCCCAGCCTTCTTCTGGGCCCCATCTTGTGGTCGCCGATGCTCGTTCGCCGCCGCGCCTCTGACGGCTTCGGGCCTGGTGAAAGATCGCGGCGATCGAGTAAGGGATCGATTACAGAGTTGACCCACCCCACAATCAAGTCTCTCTTCGAATCTTCGAGCAATGTGTAACGTTTTCCGAATATGCCGAGAACGCGTCAATTTGGGGTGTTCTGTAGTGAATCTCCTGCTCGAGGCGAGGGATTGTTAGCAGGGGTCGGCCTCCTGTCAGCCATGCGCAGGGGGGCTTAGGGGGTGGGGGGAGGGCTTCTTGGCTTGGCATCGCTCGGACGTGTGCATCTTTCCTTCGGCGAGGACCATCGAGGAGTATCCTTGATCATTTGGCGAAAAAAACACGCACGAAACCGAACAAAAGCACAGGGAATGGACGTCCGAGCGATGGCCAGTTAGAAGCACCCTGTTTTCCAGACGGCGCCTCTCAGAGGGCGCCGGCCTCGTCTGCAGATGTAGGGCCAGCGCCTGCTAAGCAGCAGCCTATGTTCAAGATGCCTCATCTCCGTCCCCCTAGCCTCTCGTGCGCGCCGCCAGATCGAGGGGGGGGGGCTAGGTTCAGGGGGGGGGGGGGATGCATGGAACGCGCCCGCCCCCGCCCCCCGCCACGACCCAGAAAGCTGAGGTTCGGGGTTCGAGGCTCGCGCTGCGAGGCTCGAGCTCTCTCTGGGCCACGGTCCGTTGTCTCTCGTCGGCCCTGGGCCGCTGGATTGCTCCTCGCCGCCGCGGCGGCGCCCGCCTCGGGCACTCTGCCCAGAGCGCGCCCCAGAAGAGGTACAGTGCCGTTTTTTAAAATACATGCTCCGCGTGCGGATCATATATTACAAATGCAGGGATCTAGTATGAAAAACAACGACGAGTGCATGCATACATTTATTCATAAATGAATATTTGATTAGAAATCATATACTTCTAAACATCCAATGTATTAAAACTTGCCCTGTACAGGGGCAGATTTTTGCCCCCTTGGACCCTGACACCCTTGCGCCGTTCCAAGGATCCCGGCGCAGCGGGTTTCGGCCGTTATTGGGATTGGGGGGGATCGGCTCGGAGGGCAACGTCTCGGTTCAAGGCCTTCTAACGTTGTCGTCGGTTCTCGGCGGGCTTCCAGCATCGGGATACCGTCCAGCAGCCGCGCTCCGCCGAACACGCCCATGGGATGTCCAGGTCGCCCCGGACTGCTGCTGGAGACCATATGGCCCGAGGACCATGGGCCACTACAGGGAAAGATGGGCTCGGGGGGGGGTGGACGCATCGACCCCCGATCCTCCAATCAGGGCCGATTGGGGCCCGAAAGCCCACCACGACCAGGGGCGTGCGGAGTTGGCGGACGAGGTTTGTCACTTATTCTCGGGGGTGGACAGAACCCCCCAGTGACACGTCGATTAGTGAATTGTCCGTTTTCGGTTCTCGAGAGGGCGTTGTGGCCGTTATTTTCCAAGCTTGCGCCCGCCAGGTTTGGGCCTCAGGTCGTTTTCACTAAACCACGTTTTACTAAAGGGAGGTCTGTCCATCCCCGATATTCATTTATCGGCGATGCTTCGCCAAGTCGATGTTCCTCCCTGAGCCAGCCTCCCCCCCACCTGTCGTTGCCCTTCCTGGGGGCCCCTACCGGGCCTCGCGAGCAGGCAGAGAGCAGCTCGAGGCGAGGCGCCGGTCTCTCGGAAAGGGGCCAGGCCTCTGGGGAGCCATTTCGTGTGAACAAGTGCAGCCGAACAAAGGCAGCCAGCAAAAGCGGCGTCGAGTGTCTTTGGGGATGGGGGCGGGGGAAGGAGGGCCGAGGAGCGATAGCGTGAGGGGGGCCCGCAGGAGGCATCTGTACTCCAGGGACGGCGCGTATACCATGCCCAGATCCAGCGTTGCCCTGGCCAGGCCTGGTGTTGTACAGGCTCCTTCTGCACATGCCAGAGGACAGGGAGAACCGGGAGACACCCGGGGCCAGTGTACATTATAGACGTGCTGCCGCCTATCCTCAGGAGGGGAAGAAACACACAGACACAATGAATCGCCAATTCCCCAGAAGATATGGGAAAATCTGGCAAGTGGGGGGGGGAGACGGAAACCCCAAACATGTTGGAAAATATGGGGAATATCTTTATTTGTGTGTATTTATTTGTGTGTCCTGGGGCCCCTTCAATGAGGCATGCTGCCGCCTGTCCTGTCGTCCCCGCGCCATTTCCCCACAGACCCCCGCGAGTGCGAGGGGGGCAGGCGTCGTGGCCCGATCGGGGCAGAGGCGTGTCCCGGAAGCCTCCTCGGCAGGAAGCCGAGCGGCGAGAGTTGCACGCGTCCACTGCCCCGGGCCAGGCGCCTCCTGGGCCCAGGAGCGCACCGCCCGCCAAACCACCCCAACCCGACGGCTCAGATTTACCCTCGATTTCCAGTGGGGGGGGGTGTCGGGGAACATCGACAAAGAACACCTGTGGAACCCTTACCCCCCCCCCACCCGAAATTCGGGGCTTCGGGCTGGGTTGGGGTGGTCTGGTAGGTGGCCAGGAGCGGCGTGTATGCCCTCCTGGCCATGTCGCCCAACGAGCGACGCGAGAAGTACACGCCGGTCGTTGAAAGTCATGCTTCCCCCGACGAGCGACGCGAGAAATACACGACGAGCGACGCGAGAAATATACGCCGAGATCCCGATCTGCTTCAAGCGCCTTCCTACTTCAGTCATCGACACGCTTTTGCTGTGTGTTGTTATTCTCTGGGGGGGCCCTGGACCCAATCAGCTGAATCCGCCTTCCTACTTCATGTTTTTACCTACTTCTTCCGACCGCCGTGTACCGGGTCGTCTGCGCCGACATTGGCGCGTAAGCTCCCCGCGTAAGGCCGCGCGTGAGCGCCCTCGCTGCCACTGTAGCGTGCCGCGCTGGCGGCCCGCATAAGCCGCCGCGCAGGGGTCGCTACGCCATTCCGCGTACGACCCGTTATATGTCGTCGCTCGAGTGAAGCTGCTCAGGAGGGAAAGAAACACACAGACACAATTAATCGTCGATTCCCCAGAAAATATGGGAAAATATGGGAAGTGGTGGGGAAGACAGAATCCCAGAAATCTAAGAAAATATGGGGAATCCTTTTTATTTGTGTGTATTTATTTGTGTGTCCCAGGGCCCCTTCAGAGACGCCGGTCGAGCGGCGGGAGGGAGGCGCTCGGGAAGCCGGCGCCGCCGAGCAGGAGCTGTCGCGCCCCAGGCAGGATCGCGGTATAGAAAGAAGTCAGGACGGCAGGTGTTTTGGACAGTTTTTTCGGCCTCGGGGGGGCCCGCGCAAAGTAGAGCGGCCGCTCTTCGGGGCAGGCGCGCGAGCGCGAGGCCTGCTTCGCAGAGCGATCTGCCCCCGTGTCTCGGGCGACGGCCCGCACGCCTCACATGTAGAGAGCAGAGGCCTGCGGCTCCCGCGCGAGGGGGCGCAGGCACGGACGAGTGCGCGCGGGTTCGCGACGGGCCCCGTGGCCACAAAGTGGACACGCTCCGTCGTCAAATCAGGTGGCTTACGTTGCATCTTCGGGGGACCTCGCCTGTCCCCCAAAATGGTTTCTTCTCTGGTGCCCGACGCGGGCCCGATGCGGACTCGAAGCGGATTAGGCGTGGATTCGATGCGGATTCGACACGGATCCGACGAGGCCGACATGGATTCGACACGGATTCGACGCGGATAGGTCCGCGACGGGACAGACAAGGTCCCCCGAGGAAGCAACAGAAAGGTGGCGAGGGCATCACGGCACATGCCTCGGAGGCGCGTTCCCAGATGCTTGGATCTGCAGTCCCCGCGCCAGGCCCGCGGATCCGCCATCAATGTTTACGTGTGTCCGCGTCATGGAGGAGGAGGAGGAGGAGGAGGAGGAGGGAGGGAGGAGGAGGAGGAGGAGGAGGAGATGGAGGAGGGGAAGAGGGAGGGAGGGAGGAGGGAGGGGGGGAGGGAGGGGGGGAAGGAGGAGGAGGGAGGAGGAGGAGGAGGAGGAGGAGGAGGGAGGAGGAGCCGAGGGAGGAGGGAGGGGCGGAGGGATGGGGGGGAGGAGCAGGAGGAGGAGGCAGGAGGAGCAGGCAGCGCAGCGCCGGCGGCGCGCCCCGTCCCGCCGCAATTCGCCGCCGCGGGGCGCGCCGCAGGAGAGGGCGCTGGCCTCGCCGCCGCGGCACCGCGGCGCGTCCAACTCGCCGCAGAGCGGCTCCTCGGGGCACCCCGCGGTGCCGCGGCTGGGAGGCGCCCTGCCGTCCTCCATCCATCCATCTTCTTCCTTTTCCTCCTCCTCCTCCTCTTCCTTCTCATCCTCGTCCTCTTCCTCCTCCTCCTCCTCCTCCTACTCCTCCTCCTCCTACTCATACTCATCCTCCTCCTCCTCCTCATCCTCCTCTCCTCATCTCCTCCTCCTCCTCTCCGTCCTCTCCTCCTCCTCCTCCTCCGCCTCCTCCTCCTCCTCCTCATACTCCTCCTCCTCCTCCTCCTCCCTCCTCCTCCTCCTCTTCCTTCTCCTCCTCCTCCTCATACTCCTCCTCCGTTCCCCCATCCTCCATCATCCGCCATCCGTCCCCCATCCCCCATCCTCCTTGTCCTCCGTCCCGCTCCTCTATCCTCCATCCTCCATCTTCCTTCCATCCGCGGCTCGCATCGCGCCGCTTGTAGCGCGGGCTCGCTAGTCCCCCCGGCTGCTGGGTTGCGGCGGCGTCGTCGGACGAGGTGAATGAGAGGGGGAGGGATAAAATATGGGGGGAAGGAGGCGGGGGAGGAGGAAGAGGGGGGGTGCTCGAGGAAGAGTCGGGGGAGCGTAAGACCCGGGTTTGCCAGGACTCGGGTTCGCCATCGTTTTTTGACGACCGCGCTTCGGATTTTGACGAGGAGGAGTTTCGTGGGATGTCTGCAGCGGGAGGCCTCGTCAAAATGCAGGCTCGGCCTCGTCATTTTTTTGACGACCTCGTCGGGGATTTCCGAGTCCCCCGTACCCGGGTCTTACGTCTCCCCGAAAGAGGTGGAGGACGATGGTGACGAGGAGGAGGAGGGAGGTGAGAAAGAGGGAGGGAGGGAGGGAGAGAGAGAAAGAGAGAGAGTAGAGACAGAGATGCTGACAGATGTATGTGTACACACATTTACAGAGCGTGTCAGCCCAAGGGTACCCCGCCACCCCCAGCTTCAGGAGTGGTACTTCCACGCTCTCCTCCTGTTGGGGGTCTGCACCTTGGAGCGTTCTTCGCGTCTGGGCGCCTATCCACGGGCCGCTGGGCCGTTGGCGAGGGGGCCCATGTTGCTGGCCCACGCTCTCGCGGTCGAGGTTCTCCTTCTCCTGCCTGCTCCTCATCCCATCTCCTCTTTTTCCTCCTTCTGCTCCTCTTCCTCCTCCTCTTTCTTCCTCCTGATCCTCCTCCTCCCTTCTCCATCCTTCATCCTCCATCCTCCTCCTCCTCCTCCTCTTCCTCCTCCTCCTCCTCTTCCACCTCCACCTCTTCATTCTCTTCCTGACTCGAGTAGGATACCCCGCTGTTGTCTGGGCTTACGCGCCGGAGCGTACGCATCTTCGGCTGAGAAGAAAAGGCTCGGCTTGTTTCACTTTGTCCTCGCAGTCTTTTCTTCTCGCTTCTAACCCCCGCAATTCTATTTTAGAAGCAGAACTGAAAGATTTCCCAGCTCGCGATCCACGGAAGACACGCAGAGTGCGATTTGGACGCACGCTCGCACTTCTTCCAGTCACATCATTGATACCACACACCGTCCATTCCCTCAGCAGCCTGTGATCATGGCTGTTCTGCAACCCTCACAGGAGTTCGCCCAGCTCACCCACAGGAGTGACGAGGCCAGCGCCAACGAGGGCAAGTGACCCTGTGCGTGTACCGTCTCTTGTCCAGCCCCTTCGAAAAACGTCACCGTGGCTTTCCAAGGCCATTGCATGCTTAGCGCGCATCCTCAGCATGCATTTTGGCTGCATAACTTTTCCGTGGTTCCAAGATCGCCATATAGTTGTCCCGTGGTCCGTGAGTCCGGAGCCGCGGATCGCGTTTTTAACCCGGTCATTATTGGGATGCTCTTGCTAGAGGCACAGCTGGCGTCATGGGTTGGAACCAGCCAGTATTCAGATCATGACCCTTCTCAGTCAGACGCGATGGTCCTCCTCCTCCTTCTCCTCCTGCTCCTGCTCCTCCTTCTCCCCCTCCTCCTCCTCCTACTACTACTCCTCCTCCTCCTCCTCATACTCCTCCTCCTCCTCCCTCCTCATCTCGGGGAAAGGAGAAACGATACCACCCTCACCACCAGGGGGTCCACGTCTAGGGTCCACGATGCCTCCCCGAACCGGGGAAAGGATATCTCGAGCGAGAGGGGTTCCATACCACTGCTGTGACCCTCCCCCCTGGCTCCTCCCCCAGGTGGTCCGTGGTGGTGGTGGTTCCGCTTTTCCTCGTTCCTACCCCTTTTGCTGGCCAGGATGGCCATGCTCGGCAGCAAATCATGGGAGCCTTGCGTACCATCGCAATCCTGTATTCGCAGTGCATCTTTATCGATGACCGTATGGCAATCGATGAGGAGATATCACCGACGCAGCGTCGACTAGCGCCGATGGGGCGTCGATTTGGAGTCAGTGAGCGCCGATTAGGCGTCGACCTGCGTCGGTTCGCAGGAGCAGGCAGCATGGTATGGGCTGCTCCCACGAGTTGCCGCAGAAGCCCTGCAGGGCGTGCAGCGGCGCCCCTCTGGAAGCCCTCCCTCCGCCGCCACGAGGCCTCTCCAAGCTGCGGGGCGGCAACGGCGTGATTGAGCCGGAGCCCTCGGCGCGACCGGGAGAGGCCTAGGCCCGGGTCCCCTCGCAGTCGGCGTCGTCGAGGTCGTCGCCACTGTCGTCGTCGTGGTCGGCGTCGTCGTGGCCGTCGTCGTTGCATTGGCGGGAGGGAGAGGGAGGTGGCGGAGCAGGAGGATGGAAGGAAGATCACAGAAAGAGAGAGAGAGAGGGGGGGAGGAGTTGGAGGGCGAGGAGGGGTGGAAAGGTTCTGTCGGGCGCTCTGGGACGTCTGTGGGATATGCTGACGCGTTCTGGGGGAAGGATGGGAGGATGAGAAGGTGGAGGATGAGGAGGAGAATGAGGAGGAGGAGAAGGAGGAGGAGGAGGAGGATAAGGAGGAGTAGGAGGAGTAGGGATTGAAGGTTTGCCAGATCAGTTGGCGGGTTCAAGGGTTTGTGGGGCGGTCCAGGGCGTTTCTGGCGATTCCTTGGCGTCTTGGTTCTGTGGGGATGGGATGAGGAGGAGGAGAGAGGGACAGGCGGGGAGGGAAGAGCGGGGACAGAGGAGCAGTGATATGAGGAGGGAGAGGAAGCAGGACAGCATAGATTTAGGATCCCTTGCATGGTCCTCGGGGGGTCCTGGGGCATTTGGGTCTACGGGGGAAGGAGGAGGAGGAGTTAGTTGGAGGAGGGAGGAGTCGAAAGGAGGAGGAGAGAAGAGTCAATTCACGGACCAAGAGGGGCTCAAGCTGCCGGGCTCTGCCGTTGGGGCTGGGAAGGGGCGCCTGTTGTTATCCGCAACCCGAGGAAGAGGGGGAGGAGCAGCAGAAAGAGGAAGGCCGGGGCAGGATGAGCATGGAGGATGAAGAGGGACTTCCTATCCCCCCCTGTCCTTCCTGGTGCCACCTTGTTTCATATTCGCCTCCTCCTCATCCATGATTTGCCATGTTGGCTGGTTGCGCAGAGGGAGGGGAAGAACTAGAGGGGTGCAAGCAGAGTGGAGGACGAGGGACAGCGACGAGGGAAGATGCAGAGGAAGGACATCGGAAGGTGGTAGAAGGGAGCCAGAGAGGGAGGGAGGGACCGGAGCAGGAGACGAGAAGGAAGGAGCGAGGAGAAGCGAGGAGTGGGGAGGGAGGAGAGAGGGTGAGGAGGAGGAGGGGAGGACGAGGAGGAGGAGGAGGAGGAGGACGTCAAGTGCGAGCCATTCGAGGGCCGGCGTCGCTCCCATCCTGTGGCAGAGCCCGGAGCCGGATCCCAGAGGACGCGGAGATGGCCGTTGGGGGGGGTGCGAGGAGGCACGCAGGATCAGCAGGTCCGTTGTCGTTTTGGTTCAGTGGGGTGTCTTGACAAGTGCGACCGGGCCGAGGCGTAAGATCGAGGACGGCTCGGGGAGGGTAACCTCATGTTCTTCGTGTTTGTTGAAAGTTTCGGGGGTGGACAGACCTCCTACCCTGACACGTCGATTAAGGAACTGGCCGTTTTCGGTTCGCGAGAGTGCGTTGCGGCCGTCATTTTTGCGGGTCCAGGTACGTCGGTTTCGGTCCCAGGCCATTTTCACTAAGGGGAGGTCTACTAAAGGGAGGTTTGTCCATCGCCGATCTTCGTGTTTGTTGAAAGTTCTTGTGCATCCAGGGGGGAGGATACCCTCGAACGTTCTTCACTTTGGCCGGTGGAGGGTCTCATGCTCTTGGAGGATGTTATTATGCCCCAGGTTCGGCCGTGAAGTCGGCCTAGGTTAGTAGGGCGACCATGCCAAATCGAGGGTACCCTTGTGTCTTGTCTGTTCCGACCTATGCAACCCTCATGCTCTCTGGCGTTCTTGGACCGCGTTGCCGCCAGAAGATTATTGTGTCCTTTCGGGTGTCCTGCCCGATCAAGTCCGACTGTAAGCCCACCCACATCAGTGAAATTTCAAGCGTTGATCTCTCGTGCAAGTGGAGCAAAGCGTCGAGTAAGAAGACAAGGTAACACTTTCGGAGCTCCGCGCGGATATCTCGGATCGCCGCTGGACTCCCCGCGCGGAGCGCGCCAGGGGCGGCACTGGAGGCGCCGTGGGGGACCCCGGCGCAGATCTGAGAACACCGCGCGGAGTTCCGAAAGTTTATGCTTACGCGCCTTGATTAGTCCTCGAAAGCGGTTTGATCTCGGGCAGATGTGTTTCAATGTGGGCGACAGCCCCAGTGAGCGTTATGTCTCAAGCTGGACCACCGAACGGTATAGCCAACTACATGCGCAAAGGATCAGCAGGCGCTGGACGGACGACGACGACAACAACAACGACGACGACGACGAACGCCGACAACGACGACGACGATCATGACAACGACGACGACAAGGACGACGACGATCATGACGACGACGATCATGACGACGACGACGACGACGACGACGACGACGACGACGACGACGACGACGATCATGACAACGACCACGACAACGACGACGGCGACGACGACGATGCCCCCCGCCCGCGGAGGCCCGCCTGAGGCCGCCCCGCCGCCGTGCGGCCCGCCCTCCTCGCCCTCCTCGCTGCGCGGCCCCGCCTCGCCTCGCCCTCCTCGCTCCGCGGCCCCGCCTCGCCGCGCCCTGGCCAGGCCGCGAGGAGGGTCCCCGACCGTACCCGCTTCCTCCCCCATCCTCCACCTCCTCTTCCTTCGCCTCCTCCTCCTCATCCTCATCCTCATTCCTCCTCCTCCTTCATCTCCTGCTCCTCCTCCTCCTCTGCTTCCTCCTCCCCCTCCTCCTTCTCGACCTCCTCCTCCTCTTCCTCCCCCCTCCGTCTCCTCCTCTGTTCTCTCCCTCCTCCTCCTCCTCCTCCCCCTTCTCCTCCTCCTTCTCTTCCTCCTCTTCCTCCCCCATCCTCCCCCTCCTTCTCCTCCTCTTCCGTCTCCTCTTCCTTCTCCTCATCCTTCTCCTCTTCCTCCTCCTCCTCCTCTTCGTCCTCCCCCCCTCTCCCTCGCCTCCTTCCTCCTCCTCATCATCCTCTCCCTCCTCCTCCTCATCCCAACGTCTCCTCCTCCTCCTCCCTCCTCCGTCTCCTCCTCCTCCTCCCTCCTTCTTCCTCTCTCCCCTCCTCCCCCCCTCCTTCTCTGCCTTGTCCTCCTGCTCCTCCTCCTCTTCCTCCTCCTCGTTCTGTTTCCTCGCCTCCTCCTCTTCGTCCTCCCCCCCCTCTCCTCCTTCTCGTCCTCCTCCTCCTCCTCTTCTTTCTCCTCCTCCTCCTGCTCCTCCTCACTCCTCACTCCTCCTCCTCGCTCCACGGCCCCGCCTCGCCGCGCCCTGACCAGGTCGCGAGGAGAGTCCCCGACCGTCCCCGCTTCCTCCTCCCCCTCTTCCTGTTCCTTCGCCTTCTCTTCCTCCTCCTCCTCATCCTCCTCTCCTCATCCTCTCTCCTCTCTCCTCTCCTCTCTCCTCCCTCCCTCCTCCTCCTCTCTCCTCCTCTCTCCTCCCCCTGTCTCCTCATCCTCCTTCTCCTCGTTCTCTCCCTCCTCCCTTCTCATTCTCCTCCCTCCTCCCCCATCCCCTCCCCCATCCTCCTCTCCTCCTCCTCCTCCTTTTCCTTTTCCTCCTCCGCCTTCGTGATATGCGTCGGCGGCACCGCGTCCTCCAGCGATATCGTCATGCCCTTCCTCGTCAGAAAGGTCGTATGGGAAAAATCGATGTCGCTGGAGTTTTGCCCGCGGCCAGTTTTGGATCTGGGGTGATAGGGATGAGCAATCAGGAACTCCAGCAGGCTCGACGGGTCCTCTTAGCCTACAAGCCCCCTCGACACCAGGGATGTTCTTTGCACGCCAAGCTCGCCATACTAGGCGATCCTGTGTGGCGCGCTGCCGTTGCTCCTGCGCTTCACTGGGCTGGGGTGGTGTGGACGGCGATCACGTGTCCTCAAATATCCCAGTACACGGTCAAGGATTTGTGCTCCACCTGGCGCACGATACCCTTCGATGATGATGTCACCTGGCGGTCCTCCAGGGGACCTGTGCAGCGTATGCATCTCAGCCTTCACAGACTTCTCAGCCTTTGACTTTTCGCGACGATAAAGATAGAGAAGTCCATTTATGTTACACCTCCCCCGCTATGCTTGCTCACCTCCTGGATCTCGCTACCCAGAGGGCCCACGAGCGGACCCTGGCCGAGCACACTCCTGGGTTTGGTGGCGATCGTGTTTGTGTTGAGCCCCTCAAGAAGTTTCTGGGGCCCCAAGGAAAGGGCCTTAGCCCTCGTGAAAAATATCTGGCCCTCACCTGTTTCTGTAAGGGAGTGTGGGCTCGCACGCGAGCTCGTGCCTGTGGGTACCAGACGGATGGCGTGTGCCCACTTTGCGGGCAGCCCGGCAGCGTTCGACATCGCCTGTGGCAGTGCATGCACCCGACGGCGGCTGCGGCTCGAGCCGAGGCGCTGGACGGGGTCCCTGTCGAATGGCATGCGGAGGCGATCGAGAGCGAGGATCGGCTTTTCTTTGATGAGATGAAATGGTCCCACCCCGAAGCCTCGTATCCGCCCCCTTCCCCCGAGCCTAACCCGCAACTGTATGATGCCTCGGGTGCCGCGGTGCCTTGGGACGCGATCGATTTGCGGGGGCTCGATGTGTGCGTGGATGGTTCGGCCAGCAAACATTGTATCCGTGAGCTCTCGAGAGCTTCCTACTCCTGGATCTTTTTTGGGTCCCGACCCAATGAAATTGTTGCCGCTGCTCGGGGCACGGTCCTGGACACCCTTCCCCAAACATCACAGGCCGCCGAACATCAGGCGATGGCTTTGCTTCCCATGTTCCAGCAGCTCGGAGGAAGAAGGTACGGGGACAGCCTGACCGTCGTTAAGTTATGCCGTGCTGATCCCAGGCGTCAAGTTTCTAGGAAGCATCGATATGCTGGTCTGCGACGCGGATCGCTGCTGCACGAAGTCGCTGGCCATTCTCCTGTTGTCTATCATACGCCAGCGCACCGACAACTGGCTGATATTGACGCTCTGCCCGATGATGAACGTCGTATCGGCTTGGGAAACTGGCATGCAGATGCTCAGGCCAAAACAGCTCTCCTCTCTCACCCCCAACCCTCTCAGAATGAATGCGAGGAGGTGGACAGGAAATGTAAACTACTGCGGATTGTTGCACGTGTTTGCGACAAGGTCCTTTCGGCCTTCCCTCATGAGAGATTTGATCGTATGTGCTTTGGCCCTAGGTCCAAGTTTTTAAAATCAGGGGGCTGGCATGCGTGGCAGGCAGGACCTCGAACAAGGCAGGGCGCGGTGCTTGCATTGCCTTGCTTTATGGACCGACCCGCTTTCCAGACCTATGTTAGGGTGCCAAGGCATGAGTAGCACGTGGCGTAAAACTTTAGATGTCAGCCTCGGTCACACCCTTGCCCACTGCCGAGTCTTAAAGGGCGATGCCGAGAAAACTCTTTTCTTTTGCATTGTGTGCGGAGCGTACACAGCCAGTCGCTGCCATAAGCTCGGGCAGGAGTGCTCACAACGTCGGTTGGGCGGAGTTCCGACAATTCTCCGCCGTATATACAATGGCTTCTACCCCCATTATCGGGACCCTTCGAGGCTCACGAGCAGCACAAGAAGAGGCAGCTCGTTTTTGTGTTTCTCTGCGTCTCAGCCACCGCCACAGGAGGTGGTCGTTTCAGGTGTCAATGCTTTTGGCCTAGTCCAGACGCCTGGTATGATCGCGCTGCAGGCGCGGATCCAGGCAAAGGAGGCGGCCGCCAATTCGAGCGATCGAGTCGCCACGGCGTCTCGGCACCACTCTTCGGCATCGAGTCAGAGTCCCTCCAGCGCATTTGCGCGTGTAGAGGAGCCCGTCGACGATTTTGCTGCCGAGGAAGAGGCGTCGAGATCTTTGGGTGTTTTGTTTGCTGATGGACAGGAGCCACGAGAGCCTGCTGGCCAAGCTTTGCGCGAGGCAGCCGTGCGCCTCGCCCAGGATGAGGACGAAGATCCCCTTATGGCAGCCGAGGAGGAGGCGTTTCACGTCGAACGCGTTTAATGCTGCTGCAGTGTGCTTGTGCGTGTCACCAGTGGTCTGCCGAAGTTAGCTTCGTGGACCGTGCTGGCGCCGTGTGCTTGCGCTCTGCCTTGTTTGTTTCAGAGCCTCTTGTGCAACGCCACAGGGCGCTCTCCACCGAGGCTCGAACATAAGCCTCCTCGGTCGCCGCTGATAGAGTTCATGCCCTATGGGACCGATGACGAAAAAATCATCTTCGTCCTCCCCCCCCCTTCCTCCTTGTCCTCCTCCTACTCCTCCTCATCCTCATCCTCCTCCTTCTCCTCTTCCTCCCCCATCCGTCTCCTGCTCCTCCCCCTCTTCCTCCTCCTCAGCCTCCTCCTCCTCCTCCTCGTCCTCCTCCTTCTCCTCTTCCTCCTCCTCCTCCTCCTCACTCCTCACTCCTCCTCGCCTTGCCCTGGCCAGGCCGCGAGGAGGGTCACCGACCGTCCCCGCTTCCTCCCCCTCCTCGCCCCTCCCCCTCCCCCTCTTCATCTTCTTTCGCCTCTTCCTCCGTCTCCTCCGTCTCCTCCTCCTCCTCCTCCTCCCTCCTCCTCCTCCTCCTCCTCCTTCCCCCTCCGTCTCCTCCTCCTCCTCCTCATCCTCCTTCTCCTCCTCCTCCCCTTCCTCCTCCTCCTCCTCCTTCCCTTTCCTCCTCCCCCTCCTCTTCCTACCTCCTCCTCTTTCTACTCTCCTCCTCCTGCTTCTCCTTCTCCTCCTCTTCTTCCTCCCCCTCCTCCTTCTCTTCCTTGTCCTCCTCCTCATCCTCCTCTTCCTTCCCCTCCGTCTCCTCCTCCTCCTCCTCCTCCTCCTCCTCCTCCTCCACCACCTCTCTCCTCCTCCTCCTCCTCCTCCTCCTCCTCCTCCTCCTCCTCCTCCTCCTCCTCCTCCTCCTCCTCCTTCTCTTCCTCCCACCTTCCGCGTGCCCTCTGCCTCTGTCTCTCTCTCTCTCTCTCTCTCTCCTTCTCTCTCTAAATATTTTCTCTCCTCCCTCCCTCTTTGTCTGTTTTCGTGACTCTCTCTCTCTCTCTCTTTCTCTCTCTCTCTCTCTCTCTCTTTTCTTTCCCTCCCTCTTTCTCTGTTTTTGTGACGCTCTCTCTCTCTCTCTCTCTGTCTTTCTCTCTCTTTCTCTCTCTCTTTCTCTCTCCCTCTCTCCCGTTCTCTCTCTCATATGTATATATACATGCATATATATATAGTATATCTCTCTCCCCCTCTCTTATATATGTTTATATATATAAACATATACCTATATATACATACATACATATATATATATATGTCGTTGTACGAGGCCGAGGGCCTCTGGCCAGCTGCCTCGACTCGCCATGGGGGGACCCCCCCCGGGCCTCCCCAGAGCCGCTTCGGGGCGTCTCCCGAGCGGCTCTGGACGGACCCTGGTGCTGTTTCAGCATCAGGAATGGTTCCCATCTTCGACCCATGTCGCCGGAGCGCGTGGTAGAGGTTTCGGGAGGCCTCCAACATGGCTCCAGACGCTTCCGGGAGCACTCCCAAGAGAGCCCCGGGAGGCAAACATTGATGGTTTTCCGAGGGTTTCGGAAGAATATTGGCTTTCTGGTTTTTCGGTTGTACGACGCTCCAAGACGGCCCAGGAGGTCTCCAGGTCCGCCCCCAAGCAGCCCCAGAGGCCCCCAAGACAAGCCCAAGGCGGTCCCGGAGAGCCCAAGGCTGGCCCAAGAAGCGCCCACGACAGGCCAAAGAAGGGCCCAAGAGAAGGACCGCGTACCGAACACCCAGGGCTCCCGCCTCAACAGTAACCCTGGAGGCCCTAGGCAGCCCCCAAGAGTCCTCCAACAAGGCTCCAAACGCTTCCAAGAGCACTCCCACGAGGGCCCCAGCAGGCCCATGGACGGCCGCGAACCGGTCGGTTCGGTTGTGTCGGTGTCGGTTAGAATCGATCGGTTCGGTCGGTTCGGTTGTTGCGGAGTCCCTGCGTCGTCGCGCCCTCTTCGGTTGATTCGGTTTCGCCGCGGGCGTCTCGCTGGCGCCTCGTGCCGGCCCAGGGGATTGAATCGGCCGCCGGTTTCCAGTTCGGTTTCGCTGCCCACGGATTCGCGCCGATCTGATTCCGCTTGGCCTTTCCCTTTGAAGAAAAAGGGAGGAGGAAGAGGAGGAGGAGGTGGAGGAGCAGGAGCAAGGAGGTTGGTTGGCTGATTGGCCGGATGCGCGCAGTGGCGCATCGTTGGCCGGATAAATCTTGCCCCGTGGCCAGGCTTCGAAAACGCTTCTTCCACGGGAATTCCGGGGGCTCCCCGGAGGCGCCGAAGGCCCCGCGGGGAGAGAAAACATTTTCTCTGGCCTCGAAAAATGTTTTTTTCGGCTCGTGGGGATCCCGGAGGCTCCATGGAGGCGCCGAAGGCTCCGGGGAGAGAAAAACAATTTTTCAGCCCCCGAAGCATGTTTTTCGGCTTCCGGGGCCTCTGGAGGCTCCCTGGAGGCGCCGAAGGCCCCGGGGGAGAGGAAAACAATTTTTTGGGTTTCGAAAAATGCTTTTATGGCTTTCCGGAGCTCCAGAGGCTCCCTGGAGGCGCCGAAGGCCCTGGGGAGAGAAAAACAATTTTTCAGGCCTCGAAAATGCTTTCGGGGGCTCTGGAGGCTCCCTGGAGGCGCCGAAGGCCCCGGGGAGAGAAAAACAATTTTTCAGGCCTCGAAAAATGTTTTTTCGGTTCCGGGGGGCGAAGCGCGGGAAGGGCGCGCCGAAATTAGCGCGGACGCATGCTGGCTGCGCCACTTGAACCTTCGCGAAACGCGCGGGGCGTGTGCTGAAATTTGCGGCGGGGGCGCATGCTGGCTGCGCCGCCGGGGCCTTGGGCGGAGCATCTATGGGGCCACGAAACTTGCGAGGGGTTCGCCGAAGTTCCTTGCGGGAGCGCGCGCGGGCTGCGCCGCTGGGAATTTTAGCGGAACTCTGATGGGGCCATGAAGCGTGTGAGGGGTGCGCCGTCGCGGGGAGCGAGAGCGCATGCTGGCTGCGCCACTGTGACCCTGCAGTTCGGTTTTCGCGTTCGGTCGGTTTCGGTCGGCTGATTCGGTTCTGCAGGCCCCCTTTCGGTTTCGATCGGTTTCGGTTTCGTCATCGGTTCGGTCGGCTCTCGGTTTCTCGGCAACTCGTGGCCGCCCATGAGGCCAACAGTTGATGGTTTTACAATAGTTTTGGAAGGGTTTTGGCCTTCTGATCTTTGCGGCTGTCCGACGCTCCTAGGCGGCCCAGGAGGCCTCCGAGACCGCCCCCAAACAGCTACAGAAGCGCCCAACGCCGCCCCGAGGCGGTCCCGGAGAGCCCAAAGCTGGCCCAAGAAGCGCCCAGGGCAGCCCACGAGTGCCCCAAAACAAAACAGGCCCGAAAGGTGTCCAAGAGACGGACCGCGTCCGGAAAACCCAGGGTTTCCGCCTCAAGAGAGAGCCCCAGGAGGCCCCAAGTAGCTCCCAAGTGACTTCAAACATGACTCAAGACGCCTCCAAGAGCATCCCCAAGAGGGTCCCAACAGGCCAACATCGTTCATTTCCCGTAGGAATTTGGGGATATTGGCCTTTTTGTCTTTTCGGCTTTCCGACGCTCCAATAGGGCCCAGCGCGCCTCCAGGTCCGCTCCCAAACCGGCCTAGGCGGGCCCAGAGAGCCCCAGGGATAAGAGTTCCTCGGCAGGATAGTCTGGCAAGGGGGAAGACCGGGGGAGCCTCTGGCGCCCCATGCTCCGAGAACGCTCCTCTGGAACATGGCGCTTCTGGAACACGTGGCTTGCAGTGCACGTCGCCGTCTTCGTGGTAAGAATCGTCGCGGGCATCGCACATGAGTGGCGACCTCAACTAGAACCTGAGCGCGCGCGATGGTTCTAGTACATATATGTATGTATGTATGTATGTATGTATGTATGTATGTATGTATGTATGTATGTATGTATGTATGTATGTATGTATGTATGTGTATATGTATGTGTATGTGTGTGTATATCTATATATATATATATATATATATATATTCGCGGCGCAGTTTCCACACGGGCACGGCGTGCGTAGCTGAACCCACGTGCTCGGTGGGGGGCCGCATCGAGATGTATCTGGCGGTGGAGCAACGCCGTAAGAGTCCCCCGAGGTGATGGAGGGAAACGGATGGAGAGGGGGAGGGGGATTGCCGTCGAATGGATTGCAATCGATCGCGTTGCAATCGAATGGATTGCGATCGATTGCATTGTAATCGATTGGAATGCAATCGATTGGATTGGAATCCAATCTCTTGATCGTCGATCGTTGATCAGCGATCGTCCATCCTCGATCGTCGATCGTTGATTTTGGATCGTCGGCGAAAGGGAGGGCTCACGGGGCCGGATGGAAAAAGGGGGGGAAGGGGGGGCGGCTTCCAAGCCCTTCCCCCCCTTTTGGAAAAGGGGGGGAGGGAGGGGTAGCTTCCAGAAGGCGGGTCTAAGGAGGTGGGGGGGTAGCTAAGCCACCCTCCCCCCCCTTGGGAAATGGGGCAGGCAGGGGGGTAGCTTCCGGGGCGGCCAAAGGGGGGGAGGGGTGGGTACCCCGGTAGCTTCCCCGGGGCTCCCGGCAGGGGGGTTCAAGGGGGGGGGGGGGGAGGGCTTAGCACCCCCCTCTCCTTTGGAAAGGGGGTAGGGGGGGGGAGGGGGGGGGGGTCGCTCCAGGGGCGGCCAAAGGGGGGTAGGGGAGGGTAGCTCCCACCCCCCCCCCTTCGAACAAAATGGGGGAGGGGGGAAGCTTCCAACAGGGCGGCTCAAGGGGGTGGGGGGGTAG